TCTCCTGCCTGGCCTGGCATGAGTATAAGTATCTACCTATATCCACATTCAGATCCTAGCTGCTTCTCTTCATGGCTGTAGCCCGTCAGAATGTTCCCAAGAGTGATACCCTCCACTTAGTCCTCCAAAAGTCCCAGGGCCCTCTGGTGTGCACCTCTCTTCCCCAGACACAGACAGTGGTCAGGGTGCTTCCCACGCACGGTGCGCCCAGGAAAAGTCTCCAGGCTTCTGGGAGGGCACTCAGATCTGCAGGCACCTCGACGGTTGTTCTCTCTAGAGCCACAGAGCTTTCCCATCGACAGGAGTCACTTGTCAGAGAGAAGAGTGCTTGGTAAGCTCTTCAGCGGCCGCCAGGTACTCTTTGCTTCTCCCCAAGTCTCTGCCCCTGCAATCTAACCACCTTTCTCTGAATTCAAGTTCTGCCTGTTCTCCCAGGCCACCCTTTATATCTGTAATCCAGGCAACCAATACTTTGGAGGATCCTTTCCAGTAGTTTCTATTTACTCTCCAGCTGCGTCTTACCCCTTCCTTTTGTTCTTTGTTTATCTTCCTTCCTCTCCACCCGCACCTTGAACTACAGACTACAGCCAGTTCATCAAGTTCCTGTTCCCTTCCCAGCATGAAACAGTCAAAGCAGGATCATCTTTCCAGTTTTGCATCATGTGGCATTCCTCGGCCAGAGGAGTACATTTCATGAAAATTGGGCTACTGGCTACCAAGGTCAGGGGCTCCAGCCACCCCAGAAAAATGTTCTAAGTCCAGGTGGCACCACAAAGCTCATTACTGTCTAGGGCAGTGATGGCAAACCTATGATACGCGTGTCAGTGGTGACACGCAAACTCATTCTTTTGGTTGATTTTTCTTTGTTAAATGGTATTTAAATATGTAAAATAAATATCAAAAATGTAAATCTTTGTTTTACTATGGTTGCAAATATCAAAAAATTTCTATATGTGACACGGCACCAGAGTTAAGTTAGGGTTTTTCAAAATGCTGACACGCCGAGCTCAAAAGTTTCACCATCACTGTCCTATATCCTATTGAGCCCTATAAGAAGGCCAAGAAATTCTAGTATGTTGAATTAATCAGGCTTTATAGAAAATATCATATCCAAAGACCTAGAAGTGAAACTTTAAAAAATCCAAAAGGAGCCTTGGCTGCTGTGGCTCAGCTGGTACCGAAAGGTCAGCTGGTTCAATTCCTAGTCAGGGCACATGCCCAGATTACAGGTGTGGGAGGCAACCTATCTACGTTTCTCTCTCAATCAATGTTTCTCTCCCTCTCCCTCCCTATCTCTAAAATTGATACATAACATATTTAAAAATAATAAAATAAAAATCCAGAAGGATGATCAGTTTCATAATATTTAGACATGTCATGATGTACAACCATGATTATAAGACATGTATTTGAGGTGCTTTCTGTGCAAAAGAGTTAAAGTTTCTCCATAACTCGGTAACTCCCTTGGCCCTTTCTGTTTTCACTGGACTCTCTCTGGATGGTGCAGCATTTCTGATGATTTCTGCTGCTTTCCGAATGCCGATGACTAACAAATGCTTGTCTCCAGCACACATGGGTCCACAGTTCTGGACCCATGTGGCTGAGCTTTGAGTCCATGTGGCATCATCATTTCCCACTCCCAGTCTGCTCCTCCGCTTGTATCTCATGACTTATTAAATTTCAACACCAGCCACGTGGAAGCTCAAGTCAGGTAGCCAGCACCCGCCTGACCCCTCCCTGTCCTTCAGCCCTCACATCTAGTCAGTCCTTAGAGCCTATGTATTCTGCTTCCTGCCTGTCACTCAAGCACACCCATTTTCTATCCCCGTTGCTACCCGAGCTCAGGAACTCATCATTTTTCCAGAGATGAACAGCCTCTTAGCAGGTCTTCTTCTCCCAATCCATTCTTCTCAGACAGAAGGATCATTTTAAAAGTCAAAGTTGATCATATCCTTTCTCTGCTTCAAATGAACTGACAGTCCTTTGTGTCCTACTTCCTGTCCATCTCTGTGAGCACATTTTTGCTGTCTCTTCTCCTATCCTCTGAACTGGAGCTGTCGGAGTCTTTGCATGTTTGTTCTGTGTTTCTCCATGCTTTTGCATCTGTAACTACTCTCTCTACTCTTCCTCACCTCCTTCTCCAAGCTAATTTCTTCTTATGCTTCAAAACCCATCTTCCTCCTGGGAACTTCCCCAAGTTATCCTTGGGTTAATCACCCCTTCGGTATATCCCAGCAGACAGGGTCCTAGCACTCACACAGTATTGTGACTTTATTCTCCTCTCTTTTCTCACGGGGCTGAAAGCTCATCGAAGGCTTAGACTGTCTTTTCACCTCAGGTCCCAGAGCTGTGCACAGGGCCTGGCTATTGCACGTCCTCAAAAAAACTTCAGTCTATCCACTATGTGAAGTCCTCTGCAATGAGGTCACATGCTCCTGTGCAACCTCTTGCTGGAAACCAGCCTAGGTTAAGGCTATGAAGTAGATCCTACTGAAGTGGGAAAATGTGTTCAAACAAGGAACAGAGTCAGATTTCTAAGATGCAACTCAGTGAGACTGATTATTGGAATGTGTCTCTCGTAAACACAAAGAAGAAATCTTGGGGCAATTGCCAACTTTCGTACAGCAGCCTCGAGGGACGAAGTCAGTATGTGGGAGAGAGCCTGACCATGTGCACCTACATACAGACATTAACAGGGAGCGTAGGCTCGTGCTTAGGGATTTAACAATCCCCGTAGAAGTGGGTTTAGAAGCCTCCATCTTGTTCATTGCTAATAAACAAAAAGGGGATCTTTTCCCCATTGTTTCTGTTCTGTAAATTCTTAATGTGAGAATACATAGTAGGCCTTTCCAGTCCTTATCAAATGTATACCTCATTTAGATATATGTTTAAAATGAGTTTTGAGAAAGAACTTCATCCCTGACTTGAAAGCATCACCCACGATGTGGGCTACGCAAATAACTTCACTGTCATAATTTCCAAATCTTCCAGTCCGCTGCTGGAAACCTGCCTCTGTGGTCCTGTCTGTTTTGCTTTCTACCTGGACTTCTCCAGTCCATACCATGCTCACATATTTTCAGTCTGAGTCTCTCCACTAGGCATGTTATCTACTGCTGTTAAGCCATGCAGCTAGTCCTAATGATGGAAAACCTTGCAAATGCCTCTACTACAGAGGCTTGGCTTTTGGCCTCACGGCCCAGTAGAAACTCAAACAACTCTCAACTTGGGAATCCATGATGGCACAAGCAACTTAATGAGTTTGTAATCCAAGGGTGAATAGGTTGGAGGTGTTACCTTAAAATGCTATGTTGGCTTGTAAGTCAACAGCTCTGCCTCC